CGTGATCAAATGGGGGCGGGGCGGAGTGTGGCGGGGCGGGCCGCTGAGCCGGCTGCGCTAACCACTACCACGCCGTCGTGCCGGCTGGCCGCGAGCAGTGCTAAAAGACTCGGGGGTCAGCGAGGAGCTCGGTTGTGAGCAGCAGGTCGGGGAGCAGAGTGTTGCTGTCCTCTGGACGACGGCGGGCCGCGAGTACTACAGCGCCGCATCCTCCACGACGCGGTCCCCGCAGGAAGTACGACTTCGTCACCCTGAAGGGCGCCGTTATCGAGACGACAGCGCGGTGGAGGACTTCCTGCTCAAAGCGTACGCGATTGCAGTACGGACTTTACGACGTAGATCTGCACGAGGGGCACTACGCTCCGAACAAGACTTCAGCAGCTTCAGGACCTTTGTCTGCGGTCTTCCGACCCCGCGCGCCACTTCGGTAAGTGCCTGATGACGTGAAGTTCGTTTGCATGGTAAGGCCCGGGTGGCATCCTTATTCCGATAGTTTAAGAGGGTGTAAGAGGGTCAAGGGTTTAAAGCAACATCTGGCAAGCTGAACAACCCCCGTGCGCCTCCGCAGGCACACTGTGCCGCATGCGCGTCGGCGGGATGCCTAACACGCTCGGCGCCACACGACGACGGGATGCCACAAATGATTTCAGAAAACCCGCGAGAAGGGGACAGGTTTTCTCAGCCGTCCTCTGGTACGCTTCGGGGAATCATTTCCAATGCGGGGGGCAGAGTTGTCGTTGTTTCCCACCATTGCCGCGGCCGGGTCGACACCAACGAGACTCCAGAGTGATCTCCGACCACACGATGGCTCCGCGCCGAGCTCTGCTCTGGACAGTACGCGTCTTCGGACACGCACACACCTGGACCGACGCGAGACAGACATGCCACTGCCGCCTTCCCCCTCTCTCCTGCCCACTGAAGCTCGTTCACTCGTCTCTCTCGCCTCGCGCCCGAGCCACGCGCCGCCGCGCGCGCCACGCGAACGAACGCCCCGCGAGCGAGCGCCGGCCGCGCGCCCGACCGCAGGGACCTCCCGGACCGTGGGCGTCACGCACGCCGCCCCGGGGCGGTCCAGGCGGGTCCAGGCCAGGCCCGCCAGCGGACCAGCGCGGCTGGTCGCCATCCTCCTGTTTTGCCGCGCGATAGAGATCGCGAACGACCTACACGGGTCGAGCTCAGCAGAGCAGAGCCCACACCGCGCAAACCTTATACCGTTACGAATATGAAGTGACCGCGCACCGTTCGGGCTAGCTGCCAGGTACAGCGGGGTCACCGGTCACTTGGCACGTCGCTGGGTGTGCGTATTGCACATTTCCCGTTAAACCACCTCAGTTTGAGTCCGTGAAGGGGAGTGGGGATAGCAAAGAAGAACTATCAAACCCGGAGATTGCCTTGTTGTTGTTCGTTGAAAATTTAAGATATGATTTCCTCAACACAGCGTTTCCCGCATGAAGCGCATGCCGTTGGCTGTTACGTTTGGCCCCTAGAGGACAACCAGGGGGGGGGGGGGTGCTTGAAGTGCCATCAATTTCTAGCACCTTTCGCGCCGAGTTTCGCGCGTCCAACGTCGCAAAGGCGCCCGCCCGTCACTGCTCTCCCCAGGTTGGCGCTTGGTACTGGCCTTTGACCTCTGTCGATTACTATTCAGTCTGGTCTGGGCCGGGGAGG